GTAATGGCATAATAATGCAGGAACGCATTCTCAAAGATTAATAAACTTCAAATTGAATTGATTGTCTAACCCAGGAACTGGAAGACAATTTAAATATCCAAAATAAACAAACCAGAAACAGCAAATAAATTAAATTATGAAGTCTCTGTCGACAAAATTAACTCAAACAAAAAATAACCAGTTGAGACTGGAGAGTTTTGTCATTTAGTTTTTGTCAGAAAGGGAGAGGAGAAAAAAGATAAATCATGCAAATGGGAATTAGCAAGCTCGCTTTAATTTATTATGAAATTAATTGATTTATTGTTTTTTGAGAGTTTGAAAATCATTCATTATTCAACTATTTACATATAGTGTGACATTAACAAATAAAACACACATGGAGGTAAAAAAGGAAAAGGTCTTCTCTGCAGACTGGAAAACTTCCAATGCAACAAACTAAAGACGCAGCCATATTTTGTGCAGCACATCTGCAAACCGTCAACTGCACTGCAATTTACTTAACATGTTTTAAATGTATTGCACTGTCAAATCATCAATTAAAACTAAAGGCACAGCGGCGGCTCTTTAACGAGACATCTGATGGGTTTATCGAGCTAAACGCTATAAAACACAAGCTATATTCCTCTAATACATTTATGGTTGTTATTTAGGAGGGTGATGACTTTAGAGTTATTCACAGCATTAAGGGAACATTAATGTTCTTCTCTTGCAAACAGGAAGTCATGAAAGCCTAGCTTATCTCAACAGGGAGATAAATACAAACAAAATAAGTTAATACAAACTTGTAATAAATATAATGACGTTCAAGTCAATGTGCACGCTGCTAATTAATAATATAAAAATTACTTATGAGAATAGTTTACAAAATGCAGACTCTTCCTTCTTATACAAATAAACAAACAAGTAATTCATGTGGTGAAGCAACACTTAATTTCTATATCATTTTACCCTTCAGCCTAAGCTTGAACTGAACTTTGGAAGCATAGCTGAAAGGTCAAGATCAATAAACTCAACAAAGAGACACACCTGGGAAGCTGGTTTCACTCTGCAGTGCAGACAGTGTCATTACAAACAAGCAAGCAGCTTAACATCACAGGCATTATATACATTTTTTGAGTAATATGCATCACACTTATCTCAAACTATACCTTTTCACACCACTTCTACACTGTGCACCCAGGATTGGAGTGTAAGATTTATAAATTAAAACTGTTTCTCTCTATATTTCTCCTTAAAACACCAAGCGATCAAACATCTCATTGTCAGAGCTACTTTTTCTTCTCTCTAGTCAAATTAATAATTTAATTGCCCAGATCTGTCAGACATATCAAAAGCTACTGCAGTATTAATAGTGCCATGCAAGTTTCATCATACACTTTACTTATATTATGAATGAAACACATTTAATTATCCTCATGGATCTTCGTTTGGGCGCCCATATACTTATGATGTATAGCCTTGTTTTGTCTTTTTAATCAAAAGTTACTGAGACAGTATGATTACTCGATTTGGAATTAACTGCTTTGTGTGCAGGTTCTTCTCAATAAAGTAGAATATCTTGAAATAGATATTTTTAATGCTAATTGTGATGGGTGAAAATATACTCAATTAAAAACTGTTTTTGAGACTACTTTAAAAAAAGTAAAATTGGTATTGGATGTTGTTCGGTAAATCAAAATAAATTATAGGATCAGTTTTATTGCCAAATTAAAACATGTAACACACTCAAATTGATAGTATGTGATCTATAAGGTTATAAAAAGATGTTTTAGATACATATTTACAAATTAATGCATTTTATTAGATAGATAGATAGATAGATAGATAGATAGATAGATAGATAGATAGATAGATAGATAGATAGATAGATAGATAGATAGATAGATAGATAGATAGATAGAGTGCTCCTGATATTAATAATTACTTAAATATTTCAAATATTTATGGTTAAGGTTTGTAAAGAAACGTCAGAATCAGTCAAATTATCATTATTTGTAGGTCAATTGGGAATAAACAACAAGATTTTAATTTCTGTCAACTATTAGTCATCATTTAGATACATCTAATTGCCCCAAATTTGGGTTTTATCGTTTGTGATGTGTGATATAAAGAGCTTCTAACTAAAATAGGGTCCCTGAGGGGGCCGTGCGTTCAGACGCTTAAGGGGCCCCGCGGGTGTTAATCCTGCTTTGACATGCAGGGTGGGGCCCTCACAGTCAAAGCATCGCAAACAAAACCCGTGCTCAACTAAAATTGTATAATATTTTCATTGCATAATTAAGTGCTATTCGTGGAAAAGCGAATACCTCGAGATATTGCAATATCTCGGTTTAGAAAAGAGCAGACCAACAACAGGGTTAACAAAAAAAGCCATTGTGCAGAAAACGTGACGTCGGCGTCGTTTACCTGGAAGCCAATAAGAAATAGTTAAAGAATTTAATGTTAAAGGAAGAAAGAAAATAGACTCTTTATGCGGTGATGATAAAGAAAAGGAAACGGGTTACTCGTTTCTGGATTTAAATCAGATTGCAGAAGTGTGTGGTTCTGGCCTGGTCGGCTGCTCCTCTCAGAGTGAGCTGTCAAAATCAGGCGAGGCGTCACAGGCTGACTTCGCTGTTAGCATTAGCCCGCTGCCAGTGACTGACCAATTTTAAAGCACTTATTTGGGTTTCAACTTAACCGTAGCATCTGTATTGACGTTAAAACACGGCATAAACGTACTCTCACTGAAACACGAACAGAAATGTCTGCGTGTGTCGCTTCGTCTCTGATAACCATCTCGCAACGGACATGCTAACTGATTAGCCGGCTAAGGTTACTGGTGATCAGTGACGAACCAACACAGGAGACTTTGCTGTCCAGAAAAATAAAACCACCCGCGGTCCTTACCGGCTCGATTTAAAACACACGCCGCTTCTCAAGTAAACACAGCTCTTGTTGACGTTTCAGATAAACATTTGGTCTGTATTTCGAGACATTTTCTCAGAGGGCAATCCTTCACTGTAATGATAACGCTTCCCCCCTTCCCCGTCTCTCAGCGTGGTTGCTAACGTTACAACTGTCCCCGCCCCTTTTCGTCACAGGATGCGATGGTCGCACGATTTGATGGAACACCGGTGTTGTGTAAAATACATTAAGCGTTAAATACATAAATAAATCGTTAAATAAATAAATAAATTAGTTGATAAACCTAAAATTAAAAAAACAAAAGAATAAAAATCAGAAAAACAAATCCTGACTACAGTCTCGTGTATTTGCATTTTTTCAAATTTAGCAACGCTGTTATCCTTTATCAAGTCAGTATCATCAAGTATTATAATTATTCTCACTTACAAACACTCTCATTGATGATCTAAATATTATTCAGAGAGATAATCAATATCAATTACAATAAGAGTAAATTATATATAAGTTCTTGATTGAGAATCAGTGTCATGTAAAGAGTATTCACACAATAGTTAAATACATTGTGCAGTGAACCCATCCCAAGTGCCACCTAGTGTGAAAAAGTTGGAATACCAACCATTTTTTTAGCAGTTATGGGCAGAGTAAATGCCCCAAATTGTACTTCCTTAAGAGTTGCATGACTTCAATATATTTTTACTCATGTTTAATTAATTCACCTATATTTTTTAAATGGATACTCAAGTATTCAGTTACCAATCATTCATATTTAAAATTGTATCATCAGACAAAAATAGGTATATTCAAATCCTGGGATTTTATGGACTAACATAAAATTATAATTTTATCATTTTTGTATTAAATTATAATTAAAAATGTCCAAATTCAGGGAAGAAGCAACATTTTTCCAAATACATTTTTTAACATACAGTCTACTTACAATGTATGAATGGTAGAATGTTAGAGCAAGAAAAAATATGTCAAATGTTAACATTTACTGTATGTTCACTTCATCTCCAAATGATATAGAAAGCAAAGCAGATAGAAAATGGCAGTAGAACAATGAAGTTTGTGTACAAATGAAAGGAGTTTCAGGTACATTTTTGGTTAAAACATGTTTGTTTTTCATTCAGTAAAATTACTCGTAGTGTGTCAAGTTTGTAGAAATGTTACTATTTAATAAATAAAATTCAAGAGGGTGTACTTTAATTAGTTATTTTTCTCCAATTTTTCTGGATTTCTAAATCCGATCTTGAATGCCGAGTCCAGCCATAATTGACCCATTTTTATACATCTATTTCAGTCGCATCACTTTTTTATTATTGTCAAAGGCAAACAATTAAGCATTGAAAATCTTGACTCATTTGTTTATATCGGAAAATATAAACAAATATAAACAAAGTTAATGCTAACATTTAGGAGAGAAACAGATAAGCGCTGAGACAGGAGTAACTACTTTATCTGTGGCATAAAATAGAGAGTTCATATGATTATTTGCTGTGTTAACTGTAAAGGAACACATGAAGTTATAGGCAATTATATGTGCTAATGGACAAGTCCAGAAAAGAAACAGAGGACAAAAAAAAAGCTTTTATAAAGAAGAAAAAACTGGGAATGAAAATAAAAAGTTAATATGAGGAAAATCTACAGAGAATACAAAAATGGAAAAAATGTGAAATAAAGAAAAATAATGCAGTTGTAATGGAGTGAGGAAAAAGTCGTATTTATGTTTTCTGTTAACAACAGAGAAGGCAATTTTAAAAAATATTTTACAATAAATAATTCTTAATTCGGACCTCATATTTTCCCCTAATAGCCTTTATAATCATATTGTGCCGTGCATTTATTTTATATTTATATCATTATTTTTGATGTGGACTTGTCTTGTAAGCAACTCCTCATAATATTCACGTGTATAATGAAATACTTGAAGTTTTTCCCTTCACTAAGACATGAATCATGCACTGCAATACTACGCAAAACCAGAAGAGGGCGCAAAACACAACTGAACAACCACAGACTTGAGGTTGTGCTTTTATTTTGAAGGCCAAGCTGACTGAGAACTGAGCGCGTGCAGCAAAGCTCGAGTCCTTCACTCGTCAGTTACCAACCGCCGAGGTCACCGGGAGGAGTGGACGAACAACCGGGCGCTGGAGCGGAGTCAGTGCGACAACCTGAAAATGTACTGGTGATATGTCTTGTATTCTTACCGTTTAACATTCATACTGGAGATAGGCCGATAATTAATCCGTGGGGTTGTTTATTTTTAGCTAATTTAACTAAGTTAGCCAGGCTGTTGTCTAAGTTAGCCTTTAGCTATGGTGTCAGGCCGTGTCTTCCCATCATTTCTGGACCATGTGCTAATGTCATTATCAGCTGCGGAATTAGTGTCAAGCAGCAAGCTTTAGTTTTAGAAATATATTTTAAAAAAAGGTTCAACAGAACCATGTGGCATATTAGTTGTTTTGAGTGTCGCAAATGCGAATGTCATTGCTTCTTAATTGCTATAATTTGTTATTTTATAGTTAAAGTAGTGAGAGTATTCATATTAAACACCTTCCAAAAGTGTTTTAATGTAATTGTTATATTTATTTTTTGTAAACTTGTGATGATAAGAAAACTGAACAAAAAGGTTCGATGCAAAATTAAACTTCAACATTTTAACAAAATATAGGGATTTATTAAATGTATATAATGTTAAATAAAGAGTATAGTTAGTTTCAAGTTGCACGTTTTTTCCTGAAAAAATCCCAGTAAAAGTGAAAATGAATGTTAAAAAAAAAAATGAAATTGCTAAGTTTACATCACAAATGTAACATCATCTTGTAATTTTACATTACAAAATCGTGACAATGAATCATTTCATAAGGTTTTGAAATTATTCATTATTTAATAAATATCTGTGCAAGCCAATATTCTAAATAAAGCTGACGTCATAATTAAGTATTTCAGGTTTTTAAAAAACAGATTGAGATCAATACAGATTTCCAAAGCAAATAATCTAAATCTTGTGAATTTCTTTTCCTGAACTGTTTTTTCTCTTGGATTGTAAAAATCCTGTAGATATTGTCTTATTGATTCCTCATGTTACAAAGCACAGATATGTGAAGTATTTTATCAATCACTTGAGCAGTAGTTACAATTTCTGAAGGAGGCAATCCAGTTAAAACTGCGACGAATAGAAAAAATAATTTCTTCTAACTGAATGTGGAATAGTGTGCAGAACATTTTGGTATCTTTTATGTTTATTTAGATATTTTAACAGAAGTAAAGTCCAAAAGCCTGTTTAAGAAAACTTGTTCTCAAAGTGACAGTATACACCGGAGCTGTTGTTGGTTCAAGGTTTTTTTGGTATTTGCACGTACTGAACATCTGAAGCTTTACATAACGCCGTCATTATATCCCCTCCTGAGCCCTTCGAGGTTAAATCTCCCCTGCTGTTGTCCTCAGCGGCTCCGGTGGAATGACGGCGAGCGACAAGCCGCTGCCAAGTCATGGGTAGAGCGCTGCCAAAATGACACATGAGACCCTGACAAGCTCCCAGTTGTCTCTCAAGGCTGCAGCTTTGCGAATGGTTGACCTACCGCTGTCCGTCTACAGCTCCCTGACACAGGTAAGCATGGGTTTTTCTGTGTGTTTCTTTATTTGTAAGTAGATATCAGCGTCACATTGCACTACAAATTTGTAATCTACACATTTTAAACGCTTATGTGTATCAATTTGCGTTAAATTCAGGACAACTAATGGAAGCAGTGAATTGTTTAATAAAAAAGAATGGAGATGGAGAATTAGTTGGTTTACTGTTTGTGCTGCACACAGTAAAGTTTGTGAAAAGTGACAGGAAAAGTTGCATGACTCCAAAATAAGATTTGTTTCAGTTGTCCAACACTCACAATGCTACATAAATCTAGCAACCACACTTTTTATACTTTCCCGATTAAAAACAGAACAGTTCCAAATTGATATATTATCTTTCAGAGTACTTCAGAAATAGATTCTTCATTTTATCGTTTGGCATTTTGAAGAATGTGAAGTAAAGAATCTGGGTCCTGTAGTTCATGTAGTTGGTCTTATTCTGCCATTGAATATGAATTTTTATCCATTTCATAAATATTTCAGTGGCTTTAAATAAGTTCTTGCCAATCAGGGAAACAAAAGTGGCAACTTTTAGAGTTGCCAAATGCTGTACTCAAGTAAGAGTAGCCACTACTTCAACATATTTTTACTAAAAAAAAGTAGCCGTCCAAGAAATTGATCAAGTAAGAGTAAAAAGTATTTGGTAAAAAGGCTACTAAAGTACTGAATAGCACATCAGAACATCTGATTTAATATTTTATAACTGTGGCAGAAAGAAGAAATAATAAAGTACAATATAGTAAAGCTAACTGTTTCCCAAAAACATTAATTATTTTAAACTAATTAGTTACTGCCTCTGCAGAGGAAGTTGTCCAAGATGTCTAATAAAATTTGATTTAAAGAAAAATCAGTTCAGAGTTTTATTATGAGCAGCAATATCAAATCAATATTTATCTTAAATAAAAAAAGTTTCTTTTTTTGCCTGCTGTAGACAAGAAATTGTGTAAATTAAGAATCCTGTTAACAATGTTATCCTGCAGTTTGACAAACTAGCTTCCTGGGTTTTCCCCCTTTAAATGGTTTTACTTTCACATTTGCTTCTGTTGTCTTTCGGTGAAGGAAATGTCCCGTATTTTCCATTAGATACCCACATATTGCTGCGTTTCTCTAAAGGGTGAGCATTTGTTTGATCTGAGACTTGAAGCTTGTCTGATATGATTAGGGTCGACTGGTGGGAAGACGCCTGATATCTGGGAGCAACTCCTTTGTTATATTAAAGGACGCTGTTGATGTTTGAGCTTTTTCTGAAAGCTTTCATCGTTTGTGATGTTCAGCAGCAGCGTTTGTGCATAATAAGTTCTGTAGTTCTAATGAAACTAAATCCCAGGTTCTCTGATTCCTAAAGCTTTTATTTTATGCATCCATTTTTAAAATTGTTTGCAACATGCAACAATATTATCAGTCACTTATCATAAGAGCCGAGCAAGTTTTCTGGGGGATTTAACATCAGAAGCATCAGAATCAATCTGTACACTGCAAAACACAAAATCTTACCAAGTAATTTTGGCTTAGTTTCCACTGCAATAATCTTGGTACACTTTAAATAAAACGGAACCAACTTACAAATAACTTTTCAGCATGACATAAGAGCTTGTTTCAGGTTAATATTAATGAAAAAGTCCTGATTTTTATTAAAATTCAGGAATTATTGACTTAAAACAAGTTCCCATCTCTTGCTGAAAAGTTAGTTCTCAGTAAGTTTTGTCTTATTTCAAGTATACTAATATATTTGCACTAGAAAATAGACCAAAACTACTTGGTAAGATTGTGTATTTTAGCAGTGCAGGGTTTTCCTCGGTATATCTCATAAGGCTGGTGGGCCACCAGGCATAGTGTTGTTAATTTATCTTAGTTTTTTTTTATTATTGCCTTTTTGAAGACTTTATAGATGATATTTAGGAATCAGTCTTCCAGTAACATAATTATCAAGTAATATTTTCAAATTTTCTGTCAACTTTAAACTTTTTTTTAACTCAAAAACCGGACTTAGCAAGTTTTCTGGGGGAAACCCTGCTGTGCATTTGAAGTTTAATCAACTTTAATGTGATATATTAGCACACAGTGTTTGTAGAATAAACTAAGAAAACATTAGCATGTTTGGAAGCTAAAATGCTTAGACTTCTTTTTGGAGAAAAGTGTTGAATCGTTGGGATTTCCTCCAGGTGAGCACCAGCACCAAGAAACTGGTGGCCGCCACAACCTTCGGCACCCTCTCGCTCCTCTTCCTCGCTCGCCGCTTTCAAAGGAGGAAGGGCAGGAAGAAGGGCCAGTCACCTCAGTGGGATCAGGTTGAGTTTGAGTTCCTCTCATCGACGGGCGCAGAAAATGGTGAGACTTCCTGATACTGTTAACATTCAGACTACAGCTGAAACCCTTCATTTTAGTGATCAATTTATTGTTAAATGGAGTATAGAGACTCAAAAAAGGTAATTTGCTGAAAAAACAATTACTCAGCAGCAGTTAGCCACAACTGGACCCAAAAATATGTTCATTTTGTATTTAAGTGGAAGAAAAACTCTTTGTCTCTTTATCCGTTTTTCTCAAAACTCCTCAAATTACAGAGTTTTAGCTTAACTTGGTTAAAAGAAAATCTATTTAGCACCATTTGCTATAGAATTATAAATTGATTTATCCAAAAAACACTCAACACATCAGCAGATTTTCACATGTTGATGTTGAAGTATTTTTTTCCCTGCGGATACATTTTTTTAAGCGTTCACTAAAAAAATGCTGTTCTTGCTATTCAAAAAAGGAATGAAAAACGTCATTAATTATTGCAAAATTTTATCCAAATCGATTGATTAATTATCAGAATGATCGATAACTAAAATAATGGAGTAAATAAAGACTTTTAGATAAAACATTCTCAATTTACTACCACTTCACTATTACTTAATCAAACTGAAATGTGTGAACTTCAAACAAATCTTCTCCAGACTCCTAAAAATTATCATTTTTTGACCTACCTGGTGTAGAAGCACGTTTTCCTGCTGTGTTAGAACCTTATATCCTCGTTTTTAATCTTTATCTCCTTAGATAACACCAGCCAAAACATCAGTGTCACCTTCAGCTCCAAGAATAGCTGCTCTGCTGGATCTGGGCTGGTTCTGACCACAAGAGATTACAGAAAACTGTCCGGGTCTCTGATGAGCCTTGCTTCGGTAAAACGAATCTCATTATCGCTTTTCTATGAACTTACAAAACCAGAAGGGTTAGAATAGATTTCTATTTTTTAAAATAAAACGTTGTTTCCTAACAGCATGAACCATTACTTTATGCAGCAGTTTGAAGCCTCCTGTTTTGTGTCTGCAGGTGAAAAGTGTGAACTCGTCCAGCAGCAGCACCTGTGCAAACGAATCCATTGGTTGGGACGGAGGGACAGACGCCGATGTGTGCAGCGTCGTCAACCTGTCTATCACCACACCTGAAAATCTCTACCTGATGGGTGAGAACTTCCTGTAAAAATGCAAGAACATAATTTTAAAAGATCAATAAATTTTAAATTCCAATAAATATGTAACACTAAATATCCAGAATATATAATCAAAACAGAAACAGCAAATAAAATGAAGATAGTTGAAACCAAAGCACCAGTTGGAGACTTTTATCATTCAGTTGTTTGTAGAAAGAGAAAAATAATAAATGATGCAAATGGAAATTAATGAGCTTGCTTTAATTTACCATGCGATTTATTGATTTAGAATGAGGAACGCTGTTCTTTAAGACATTAACATGGTGTGTGTCTTTCTCTCAGGCATGGATTTGTTTGAGGAGGCGCTGCAGCACTGGGAGGAAGCGCTGACGTTCAGGAGCAGACAGGGTGACGACGACGACGACGACGCGAGCTGCAAGTCTGTCAAAACGGGAGCCGGAGATGCAATCGCTGAGCAGAGCATGGAGGTGAAAGACGAGCGCGGCATGTTGGAGCCGCTCTGATTTGTTCTTCTTCTTCTTCAGTTTTCTTTTTATTCCCATTTGGCCCATTATTCTCTCCGGTGTCGGCTGCTTTGTTGCAGGAAGTCTTTTTCCCTTTCATAGTTCCAAACAGTTATGATGCGTAACCATGGCAAGAAGTTTCTTTCTTTCTTTTTTAACAACTCTGAGTGGGTGACTAGCATCTCAAAAACTGAACTAATGTCCCAGGGGCGTTAAAAAAAGGTTTATGAAAGCATAGACTGGAAATTCATCCCTCCAAGGGGAAATTCATGGGTCACAGCAACAGAGCGAAATTTGCAATAAACATCTAACAATCAAATCTCAATTTTAAAAAAATCTATTTAAAATAACTAAGAATCTAAACACCTTTAATAAAAATAGTTCTGTAAAAAGAAGCCGATATTGCACATAGTAAAATGATGTGGATGCCTCTGTGTCTGCGCTGAATCTTTAAAGATGCTTGGATGTTATGAATTACAGCATTTTATTTGTCCTTTGGAATAAATAGTGTTTCGGAACAGGCCTGCCAAAATAACACATTTTCCTGGATGATAAATTGCTCCAGTAGTTATTGAGATTAACGATTTCAAGTAATTTGATAAATTCTAATGAACTGGAAGACATTTAAAAATCCAAAATGAATAAATTAAACAACTTAAACAACAAGTAAAATTAATTATAAAGTAAACAAAATTTTCCTTCCAAAAATAGCGCTTGTTGAAAGCAAAATCAAACCACCAGACTGAAGACTTTTGTCATCTCGAAAAATGACAAATTATGCAATTGAGGCCGTTTTAATTCATCATGTGATTAATTAATTTGTTGCTTATTGTGACAGGCCTATTTTGGAACTGAATTAAATATCCTGAGAGAAGCGGCTGCGTAAATGGATGGATTTTAAAGCAGATAATCAAACATGTATTCAGAGAACATAAAAAGAAAAAGGGTCATTCATCGTGTCTAATAGAGAACTGATGATGATGAAGTTAGATTGACTGCCATGTTTGTGTTCAGGACGTCATCAGCGCGGAGTTCATCCACAGGCTGAAGTCTCTGCTGCAGCGGGCTTACCGCCTGCAGGGGGAGTTTGAGGGCGTGCTCGGCTCGTCGGAGCCTTCGTCCTGCAGCAGCAGCAGCAGCCAGGGTGAGTCACACATGTGCTCTTATGTAATTCTTTATGCTAGCACACATAATCCAGGTCTGCCTAATCCAAAGGTTGTTTGAGCTCTGCGGTATTATTTCTGAAATATCCAAAACATCCTAGTTCATCCCAGAGAGCTGGGTTTTTTAACCTAATCAGTTCATCTGTTAGAGGAAATTATTTTCTCCATCTCTCTGTCTATACATCGGTTTTGGAGAAAAATGATGGACAAAATGGCGATCTTATCTCGCCTTTATGGCAGACTATTAACAGCTAAATCAATATGATCTACCTGGTAGCATTTTGACCCTCTTTACCATTTATGCTCTGTTGGTTCATTTTCTACTCAGTTTCTTTTTATGCAGTAAAAAAGTGGAAAACATCCCAGTTCAGTGTTTCCACAATCCAGACAATATTTAATTTCTCTATATTCTCTGTTTATTCATCTACCCATTTATTTATCAATCTGTTTGTTTATCCATCCATCCTTCCATTTCTTTATCCATCTATTTATTTGTTTATCCATAACTTATCCGTCTAATTGTTTGTTCTCCATCTGTTTATTTGTACATCTATTCCTCCTCTGACTAGTTGATATTTTGCATTTAAAGCTCGACTTTGACAGAAATGTCTATCATGAAGTAAACTGGTGTATTTACATAAATGAATGTCACAATTCATATCACTTAATGAATCACTTTGTTCACTTTTTAATCATTTCGGTCCAGAAACGACATATTCAAACAATTTTTTTTGGCCAATCGCTAAAAACTCTTCTGTGTTCTTGGTATATTTCCTTTCATTTTCAGAGTTTTTACACAGATAAACTCCGTTACGCATTTTTAGAGCTTCCACGTTGCCGCTTTTGGAAACTCGATGCCCCAGTGAATGTTTGAATGTTTTCATGTTGCCTCCCAGATCAAATGGCGGACCTTGTGGCCAGAGAGGAGCTGGACGACGTCTGCCTCAGAGACAGCATCAGCATCGCTTCCAACGACTCCTTTGTGTCGGCAGCTGAGGTAGGAAAAACATCAAACTTTTCTCTGGAGGGTTCCTGAGTCATCTCAAGTAAAGTCTTTAGACTCCTGATTCAACTAACTGAATTCTTTATTTCCTTTTACTAAGTTTCACCAAAACATAAGTAATGGCTCATTTTCATGCTGCTTTTGCTAAATTAAACCAAAATCACATCCTTAAAAATTTTACTGTTACATTTCAGGTGTCAGAAAGTTCGGTTTTATTTTTGCACCTCAACACTTAAATTAAAGTTTGACTTTGGTGCAACAGTAAACATCTAGAAACGTCTTTAACCTTGTGTCGAAGTCTAAGGTTGACTCAAATAGCTGCAGGTAACCAGAACTCGGTTTATCTTCTTTACTCATTAACTCTCCTTAACTCTGCCGGGGCTTGAACTTTGCATCCGACGCTGTTGGTCATCTTGACCTGCAAAGTGCAAAACTAAACTGAACTGTTGTTCAAACTGATTTGTTTGTTCATCTCCCCTGTTTGAGTCCATCTTTGAACCTGTGTTTCTTAAAATTAGTCCTATTTTGATGTTTTGTTTTAATATATGTGTTATTTCTGTGACTTAACTGCAGTTAAGTGTGGAAAATTTACTCAATTTAATGCAGCTTACATACATATTTATTCATAAAATCGAGGAGTCCCAACAAAATCTGTTTAAAATCTGCTAAATCCTCGGCCAACTTCAGTGTTGTTTTCTAACATTTGTGGAAATGATAAACCCCAACTGGTTTGACTGTCCTCTAATTATTCTGGACACATTCACAGTCAAAAACTGCTGGAAAATACTGAATTTAAGTTAGGAAAAATAAATAAAATTTATCTTATTTTTGTCATGTTGTCCATATTTTTAAAATTTATTCAAAACCGGAGATCATATATACTGATGGAAAACATGTTATTGTACCGGAGCGCCTTACAAATCCAACCAGATGTTAGAAAAAGATTTGGAAACCTCGACATCTACAAATACAAACCCAGAAATGGAGTCGGTCAGATACACACACTAAACGAACAACATCAAACAAGTCCTGCTCAGCTTCTGTTTTCAGCACAGAGTAAAAAGATTTTATATCTGAAATACTATTATGCTTATTTAACTTGGGATCATGTTTGGTTCAGCTGTCGGAGCACAGAGATCTGAGGAACACCTTTTCCCTCGGACATCATCCTTTTTACGAGGAGGCGCTGCAGATGGCCGAGGAGGGCAAAATCTCCTGCAGGGTGCTTCGGTAAGAAAGTTCATATCAAAGCCTGTTTGGTGCATCCATGAGGCTGTTATAGCTCTTTTACAGCACTTCAGGGGAAAACAAAAAAGTAATCAACTTACTATTAATTATAGATTAATGTTTCATTAGATTAATGTCCGCTGGTCATCCTTGCTAAACAGACACAAAGATGGCGGAGGGCTCTTCGCTAACAGGAAAGAGAAGCGGTCCAAACGGAGTTCTTGTGGGGTGAAAATGCTCTTTATGCTGTTTGGTTTTGAAATACAAACACTGGATAAGTTCCTAAAGATCTCAACTCAATGGCGCCCATTCAGCTGAGCTGCATGGCGAAAGCAGCGTCAACTTATCAATCAAAAACCACCGATTTGCTCCCAAAGCGGCGCAGAGGATAACACAAAAAAATTGTCAAAAGATGCCAATTATTGTGGTTTATTTTGAGCGCTGACTATGTGTAATAATGTGAGAAAACAACAATTATCTGCTTATTCTGTCAGGGTTTAACACAAAAATGGTCAAATATGACGGAGTTTATTCAATTAAACATATGGGAAAAAATCCCTTCAGGCTATATAAAGACAGTCAACTGTTAACACAAGAGAAAAGTCGGCTTTTTAAGAAAATGGACAAGTTAGAAAAAGTGGTGCTGAAAATCTAGCTTAGCTTTTTTTATTACTCATTTTATCCTTTTTAATTATTTAAATGAATTTCTGGGTTGCATTTAGAGGACCTTTTAAGCCTTTGTTGCATCTCTGTGTGCTGAATTTTAATCTGAGTTCAGATTAAAATAGTTCACCACTTCAAATCAAATGTAATTTTGTTTTTGTGAAAAATGTTGCAGAGGCCATGATGATGCAAAGCTTTTAAAGATCTTTCCTCCTGAACCTGGAGCTTAACCAGAGCTTTTTAAAAAGAAATTAAAATCCTGACATTCTGTCTCGTTGACCATGTTGTTGGTTTTTGTTTTTTGAAAGCATTATTTTAATTATTTTCAGAGAAAATCGGCTCAATAATCTCAGGCTTGTAACCCCAGTTGCCTTGAAATGGATCAGAATAAAATTTATTGCTAAGTTATTTGTTACAAAGATTAGGAATTTATTTTGTTTTCTGCGGGAGACAAGAAAACATGTACAGCCAATATAACAACATTTGTACATCAAACCTCAAGTAAATGGGTTTATAAAACGCAGTAAACAGTGACTTCATGAATTTCCACTTTAGATTTTTACAGCATCTTCAACTGAGAACCGGAGAAACAGCATTAAGTTACTGTTATGCACATACAAACCTCAGCTGCTCTCAGTGTTTTTGGTGAAGTTTCATTCTCAATCATTTCAGATCTGAGTTACTGGAATGTCTGGGTGACTTGGATTTCCTGGCGAAGCTGCACTGCGTACGGCAGGCATGTGAGGTACAGTCCAGTTTCATCTGCAGGGAACTGATCAGATGTATTGAAACTGTATTTTATATATTAAAACGGTATTTTGTCTTCAGCTCATTTTGAGTGACAGGGCTACCAGGATGTTTCTGGCTGACACTGGAAAGAAAATCTTGTCTTCCATTATAGTCAAAGCCCAGAAAGTAAGTCTGCAACGTGGCTTTTGTGTGTGAAATGATATTTAGTGGTTGAGTTTTTCTCCCGTTATGGACGACTTTCTGTTTTTCCAGAGTCCGAAGCGATTTGAGGAAGTGTTTGAAGAGCTGATTGTGTTCCTGGAGCATTCGGATCATTGGGAAGACACGGAGCTGGAACTGGCTTCACGAGGGGTTTGTTCGAAAACCCAGATTATTAAATTGTTGTACCACAGTTCTTCTTTGTATGTTTAATATTTCCCGCTGTTCCTCACTAGGTCAGGCATCTGAACTTCTACGACGTTGTTCTGGACTTCATCCTGATGGATTCCTTTGAGGACCTGGAAAATCCTCCCATCTCAATCCAGAACGTGATCAACAACCGCTGGCTCAACAGCTCCTTCAAAGAGACGGTGAGGGAAAACTGCAGAAAAGTAAATTAATTTTTTCGCCACTGCTTTCTGGCATCGTGTTGAATCACCTTATTATTTCTCAGGCGGTGGCGTCAAGCTGTTGGTCAGTACTGAAACAGAAGAGACAGCACATGAAGGTAGGACCGTCTCCTAACGCCCGGGTTCCCAAACTTTTCCGTTTCGTGGCCCCTTTCGAAAGCCTACAGATAATATTACAAAACATGTAAAGAAGCAAGAATTACTTCATTCATTTAGCATAGAAGCTGCCTCCTGCCATCTGAAATTTATTATCAGACAAAATATTATGACTTTATTACCAGATAATGCACATTTTAACCAGTTTCCTCTTTTGTTTATTTGAAAATATGTAATATTTTATATTAATCACATTAGATTTTATTTCATTCCAGCAGTTCTTGTCTTTTTTTGCAGCAGTTTCCTCCACAGCATCAAAGTTTCCAGTTTCTTCCTAAGCTAACTTGATTATTTTGACTGGTTATCACAAAATGAGAATCAAATATATTATATTTTATCTAAAAAAAATTTGAGTAACAGAAATCAAATATAAAAATAGAAGATTTTTGTATTTTTGCTTTTTTTTCCCCCTCATCTTCCCTTGTGAATCCTCCAAAGCGCCCCCTTGTGGCTCCAAGATTAAAAACACTATCCCAATGCATAACATCAAAACTAAAACTGTTATTTCAGTGGATTACACTTAGCTGCGAACATTTTCACCTTTGCAGGTGTCCGACGGCTTCATCGCCCATTTCTACGCCGTGTGTGAACAGATCAGCCCCGTCCTGGCCTGGGGCTTCCTGGGGCCAAAGAGCTCCCTGCACGAGTTCTGCTGCTTCTTTAAGGTCCGAATATCCGACTGATTTGTGGCATCTGATTTCATTCAGAACTTTTAAACAGAGATGATGAGTTCTTTTTTAAAAGGAGATTAAAGTCCTTGGAAAAAACTTGATTTAATTGCTACTTAAGTACTGAGTTAAACATCAAACATTTTATATTTAAAAATGATTCAGACCGACCAAAGTATAAAGCTATGTGGAAATTTTGGTATTTTAAAGACTAAAATTAAAACAATGTAAATAACACAATTACAAATTACAGACGTTGAATTTCTTTGGGTTTCATTTTCATTGGTTTCTCCTGCAGGATCAGGTGCTTCACTTCCTGAAGGACGTCTTTGACCTGGATAAAGTTCGTTACTCCTCGGTGGAGACGCTGGCGGAGGACATGCTGCACCTCCTGCACCGCCGCTCCGACCTGCTGCTGGCTTACCTGGGAGCCGACGCCCTGCGGCCGCTCAGCAGCGGGCTGCAGGTGCAGCTGGTGCCCAGCGCCCTGCTGGAGGCACAAGTACAGTAAGCGGCTAAACGGCCAATCCACCAGCCGTTGGACCAAAGAAAGTTCTTTTCTCTGACTTTTCCCAAACCATGAGGGATAAAACGGACCGTCTGAGATCATAGTGTTTGCTTTGTGGATCGGTCTGCCTTCGTCGTTGTCTGATGTGGCCTCCTCCATGCTCACTGTGCCATATCACTTTTAGCTGGCGGTGCACCGATCGCAGTTTTCTGCCTGAAGATTCCGATTGGGGGTCGATACCGACTGTCTTCGGTGCTAAATTTTCCTCCTCCACCTTTGTAAAATTAAACACAATTGGTGTCAAATGTTTGTGCTGCGTTTGTGCGGCTATTATTCTAAAGACGTTAAAGTTTCCAGAGATTATCGAAGGTCAATCAGCCACTTCACATTTACACAATCAAACCGAATGTGGTGGCAATCAACTAAGCTTTTTTTTATTTTGATTTGTGCTGCTATTATTTTGAAGATGTCAGTAAATGTTGCCAGAGATTATGAAAGGTCAACCAGCCTGTCCAGCTTTATGAAATGTTTTAAATCAACTGTGCTCTTTTTGCATTATATTTTTTTTATTTCAGCATTAAAGAAAGTTTCCAACTTCTTTTTCTGTAGAACTTTATTTTTCCTCATTTTGTTTAATATGCAACACGTCAAACTATATATGTGAAGTAAAACATAAAAGAAAGTTTCCAAAAGCCACCAGAGATTTAAGAAAATTTCTGTAAATTAACATTACTGTGTAAAATTTATTAGCACAATTAACGAACAAAAAATGTTTGATTTTATAAATGTGGACTGGCTGGTTGACCTTTGACCTCTGTAAACATTGATGTCTTTAAAGTGTTAGTGGCACAAATGAAAACTGTTGCAGCCGATCACTGATCTCCCAAAATCTAGGAATTCAGTCGGATTTATCGGTGCACCGCTGCTCTCAGCAATAATGTGTCGTTTTAACCTGAGGATCAGTGTTGCGCTTTGTAAAATGAAGTTGTATTTATTGCGGTTTACTTGACACTAGAGAAATAAGTAGCCATATTTATTTCAGTAGAAAGCCAAAAATGTTTGTTTTGTAGGTGTTGCGGTCGTCTGTAAGAGCTTCAAACATATTGTAGGCGTCATCACATTTATTTAACTCCAACAATGCAATAATATCAGACGAGCGTCTTGGCAAGGAACCGTTTCCTTCCCACGCAGAAACTCAAACCTTGGTGTGTTAACTTGAAGCTGTGAGCTTTTAAGCAACTTGTGCCAGAACCTTTTTAATACAAGCACAAGAAGCCTTAACATAAAAGCAATTAATCATCCATCACTGTCGGCTTAAATGCATTTTCAAAGTGGCGTTCAGAGGGAAGTTTCACCGCAACACATGGAAATGGATTCACAGTTGTTGCAAATCGTTATTTTGGGAAATGAAATGTTATTCTAACAAGTATGACTTTAAGCATCCCACACCTCATGTATGTAGAGTAATTTATGCCAAAATTATTCATAATAATGTGAAGGAATTTCTAGTAAATATGTGTAAAAAAGTCTTAAGCTTTCAATGTGTGCTTGATTTTGACACAATCTTTACCACTTAGGGTGTTAATAATTCATAAGTCCAGAGATTTCCCAATATGGCGGCACTTTGTCTTCCCTTAATCACTGCAAAAATAAAATCAAAAAGTATTTTTGGTCTAATTTAGGAGTCTGCAACCTATAAGCCATATTTACCTCCAGTGTGGCAAATTAGGACGTAAATATAACTGTTTTTAAATTATTTACTTTGGGAAATTTGTAATTTTAAAGATCCACATCTGATTTTTGGTTTCAGAATACAGTTACGTAAGATTGACATCTTTCTTCCTGTGGAAATTAATAAAATAGAATAATTAAGCTCATAAAAATAGATCAACTCTATTTTACAAAGTTAAATAGAAGTTAAAATATCACTGGCATTTCTTGTCATGAAAAACTGCTAAAACCAGCATTGATGTTAGTATTTAGAAACATTAATTGATTATCATTTTTAGCCAGATTTAAGAGCCATTGTGGATCATCCAAAGAGCCATTTGTGGCTCTGGAACCGCGGGTTGCAAACCCCTGGTCTAGTTTCTGGAGTAAATATCTTCGTACGCATGAAATGAGACAAAATTAACTTACAGCTAACTAATAAATCAGAGCTTATTTAAAATCAATAATTACTGATGAAAACGTTCCAGTTCCACTGGCAGATCGATCGACTTACAGCAAAATAATCTGCCAGTGGACCTGGTGCTTTTCAAATCATTAAGGAATTATTCATTTAAAACGGGCAGTTTTGTTATAAAGCTACTTCTAAGTCGTCTCATTTCAGTTGTATTAAGATATTTGTATTACAAACTGGACAAAAATACTTTACAGTTTTGCAGTGCAAAGACAAAACGTGAGTTTAAAACTGATAGAAAGCCCACAAAAGGTGCGTTGTGGATCGATTTTAAAGCATGAATGTACAAAGTTTATTAAAATTCTCTGAAGTAATCAAGAATTTGCAAAAAAAAGAACAAAAACATTTAAAGACTTTTTGCACATTTAAACAGGTTTGAGACCATTAAGAACTGGATTGACTTAAAGCATTGCAAAGGATTTGAGCTTCATGGTTTATTTCTGGAGTTTGCAGGAATTTGATCTAGAAGTCACAATATTTCCTGTTTTTGTCCAAATCCCCTCAATAGAAACGTATTAATGGGGTGTTCACTGATTAAGGTTAGATTTGTGGATAAACTGTATTTTGTGTAAAATGAAGTGAATAAAGACTTTAAAAAAAATAAGTGATTTTCTGTTATTCAAATTCCCATTTAAAAAAAAATAAAACTCAAGCATTTAAATCCCGTTTGTAACAACTTTATTGGTGAACATGGCAACATATTAAAGGTAATTGAAAAGACAACCCAGTAATGTAATATACACAGCACATGAAACCTGTTTTACCTCTAAGGCATGCTTCTTGTTTTGTCCTCTACAACCCGTGTGTTCAAACACTTTAGCGCATCTCAGTCTAAAACGATTAAAAACCTTTTTTCTTTTTTAAATTTACTACAAATAAAAACTGACAACCTCCCAACTTTTCTGCCTAAAACACTGTATGGGTCATTTAAAGTTTCAGTTCCTGCTCTCATCCAACTTTCTAAAGCTTAAAAAAGAGGTACATTTATAAATAAAGGCATTCAGAAACAACCTCTAAACACACTATAGCATCATGAATGAATGAAAGTCAACCCAGGCTGGCAGAAACAAATCAATCTGAGCCACAATTTGCAATCACAGAATTTAAATTTCATTGCGTTTGCTGCTTTACCTTATCACTGGAGCTCTTGAACGGTCTACGTTCAGCAGCTGGACTGACTCAAAGGATTCCTCCTTTTGGGGTAGGGGGGGGGAAGACAAACTACGACACGGCCTGATTTTACGACCTAAAGCCTGCAGCATCCTCCAACACTGTGAGCAAGAAGTGAAGGCAGCAACGTTTCAATAGAAGGTTTGCACTGCACTTTGGGGCAGATTTACACCACGACAGAAAATTATTCAGAGAACAAATGAATAAAAATGCATTTCACTGATTATTCCACCTGACATTTGAGCACATTGCTAACTTCTGGCAACAGCGTAGCATGCATTGCATTAAAACCCAGTGTCAACCTAAAGGTATCCGTGAGAAACACTTACCAGAAGGAAAATATGGAGCACATATTGACAAACATTTCTTATTTTTTGGAAGGCAACCATCAAAACAAGTGATAACAACTCATCATGCAGTTCATGAATCAAAAAGGCTAAAAAACAAAGTAAAAAATGGACTGCTCAGGTGTAAATATTAGGCACATTTCTTTACAACTAAGCATAAACGCATTGAGGCATGTTAACACCACAGGTAAGCATTTCTTTGCATGAGTACACGTCATTTTCAGAGGACAAAAATACACTTGTTCCCTTAGGTTTCGCTTACCTGTGTTAATGCGGCAGAACCTAAGGTGCAAGGTCTGGAATGACACTGCAAAGATCAGATATATATATATATATGTATATTGCACTGTTTGCCATCAGTGAACAATGCAGTCAAATATTGTTCCGACTTTAGTTCAACAGCCTGGCAGGACTGATCCGTCCACAACTAGCATCCACATGCTTAAATGGGACATGCTATGAACTTTCTATACAAGTACTGGCATTGAACAGCATTTCTTTTTGGTTATATAGTAAACATGAGCTAACAGGTGCACTCAACAGGTCAGATGTAAAGAACGCAAAACCCGGGTTTCTACCCTCGTGTCAGAAAATCCATCACTACACATTCTAAACAAGTCATACTTTCAGTTCTACAAATCTAAATTATGCAAGTCATCCAAAAGTCTCAGAAACATGTGGTACAAGAATCAAACTTAAGTTTTTGCCTCTTCAGAACATTTCATACTTACCCAGATATATAAAAAAAAGAGGGAAAGTGGGGTAATTTCTCACAAAATCTACATTTTTAGCAGTTTAGAAAGCATAAAAAAGTGCATTTCTTAGTTTTGTACTTACATTACAGGAGGGCTCAACTGACGGATGGAGCTGCTGCTTAGCTACCCCCGACCCTACAACATCTATGCTTTTATATTGGATAAACACTTTGCAATGTTTTTATGTAATATATAAACTTCATTGAAAGTTAAAAATGCAGAATTGGGATTGGGCAAGACAAAAAAATATAGAGCTTCAACACATTTTTGTTTCATACAGTGGCAAATTTACCTGACTGTCCTGGAAAAAGGAAAAGTAAAAAATGACACTAAAAAAATATAACATTTCTTGAGACCACATTTTCTGAGGGACGTGTTCATTTTACCTGCTTACCACATTATTTTGTTTGGGGTTTTTTTCTAAACTTTCCTGTGGAAGAGGAAATGGCTATCAGGGGCAAAACAGCAGTGCATAACAACAACTAGCTCAACAGCGATGCCACACATACCTGTCAATTCAAGAGCATCTACAGCTAGTCAGCAATTTCAATGTTTAAAAATAAAAAAGAGACAATTTCTAATCAGCAAATGAATCATTCAGGATCACGTTTCTCAGCCTTATAGACAAGTTGGAGAGAGACAGGACAGCACAACTTCAAAGTCGATTTTTATAGGACAAACCCACACATTGCCTACGTTTCAAACAGGAAATACAAAACAAAGAATTTCATTTAAACCCCCTTTTTTTTATGCATGTTTGTTTTGAACCACCCCAACTTACCAACACAGGAGGTTTCAGTTTGTTTTATTGCAAAAACACAACAGGCAATAGCATTTTTTTCTTTTTCTTTTTTTTTCTTTTTTTTAAAACTGAGATGATTTACATGGTAATGTCTACAGCTTAATAAACATGAGTTCTAACCACATTTAATGTAGATACAGGGCTGGAATGACTGTATGTATAATTACCTTTACTAAAAACATAGCATTTACAAGAAAAACAGAAGAAAAAAAACAAAACAAAAAAAACAAAAACAAAAAAAAAAACAAGAAAAAAACCAAGAGGACGTGTTCGCCGGGTAATCTGCCATCTATGTGAAACACTTTCAAACCAAGGAAATTTAAGATCTTCATCAAGGCGTCAGCATCCAAACATTTAACAAAGGATTTTGTTTCGACAATGTAGCATTTACTTTATGTCCACTTCACATTACTGGCCCTGTGCAGAAGAAATACATAGAAGATACATTGCATGTTAACAGCAGAAACAGTGGACTCAGCTTCCCAAAATAAAAAGATTAAAAAACCTGCTTGGGAGGAAAGAGAAAAGGTGATGTTAGGATGTTTTTTTTGCGGCTGCTGCGTTCACTGGAGCCCTGTAAAAACCTGAGGAAGGAATCTGGGGGGAGTTCAGGTACAAATGAGAAGTGCTGCAGCGAATGTGGCAAGCAGATTCTTATTCGTGGCGTACCTGAGGAGCTTGTGGCGCTGCACCCATCGCCTGAGGGTTTCCGGTGCCGTAGTAGGCGGCCTGCTGGCGGTAGTACTCGGCCCAGGCGGCGCTGTAGTCCGGCTGGCCTCCAGGCTGAGCGGCCGCCGGCGCCGCCGCTGGAGCGGCTTGCGGTGCGGCCTGACCTGATGGAGAAAAACAGACACGCCATCAGTAAAACCATTGATAGAAATAAATATCTGGGTGTCTATGCATTCCCCCGCCCCAAAAACATAATTCTTATAGCGCGAGATGTTTAATCTGACCAGTTCAGCCATCAATATACACACCAATCAATCAATAGATAATGCAACTGATAGAATATTCAATACCACACAGCATTCTGGGAGTTACAGGCACAGGAAAGACTATATTGACCACCAGTTGGCAGTTTCAGATATTTTATTGGGAAACTAATGACTGATATTGACTGATGTGAACGTTTCCAAACTGAGCTCCTACAGACTAGCCAGAAGCAATTAGCAAACACCTGGTGAAACTGTTTCATCTTTTGGGGTCATTATTTGAATGACTACTCAGTGAAACTGGTGAAAACGTTGGAGGACGAATAGAGGAACGATGTCATGAGTTTTTAAAGAGACAGAGACCCAATTTCAAGATGTTGGTCTTTTTTTTTATGTATGCAGCATTTTGAGAACAACTGAAAATAACATAACTTCTTGACTGTGCTATAACATGGCATCATAGGCCTGGAAATGCATATTACTGCCCCTTTAAGATGTTCACTTTGCCCTGTTTTTAGTTCCACCATCTCTCCTCACCATGCCCATGAAAAATAAATCCTCCAGTATGAAGGCGCGTCACCCTGAGGATTGTGATTTCAACCATCCTCCTTACTTCTAATGGTAATCGTTGGCACTACATTTCATGTAGAGGTATCAGAGTAAAGGGGGCCAAACTTTCCTTCCATTTTAACTTCATTTTGGTCGATTACATAAAATCTTGATGAAATTTCGTGTGGTTTTAATGTCAGAAATCTTTGGAAAATAAAGAGATAAAATACGGAAGAAAAAACTGTGAGAAGGGGAACGAACCCGCCACCAACATCTCTGGGTTGCGGGTCAGAAACCTTCTGCTTTACTATTGGGTGGTTGTTTTTACAGCATCTCTATGATAGAGAGATGCTAGAAGAGGCAACCACCCTAAAACAATAATCTTTTACCAGAAGGAGGAGTTTGATAGAAATAATCTGGACAATATGGAAATGAACCCAACAAGTCAAGGCTGTGTTCATGTTAGCTCTGTTCAGTCCACTTCAATCAAACCCTAATTCGTTTAACTAGACAGTCCGGTTCGTTTGACTGAATGTGCAGTCAAACTGATGTGGACCAAAAAAGTGGCTTAAGTGAACTTTGGTATCCTTCGAATGCATATGTGAATGCCAAGCGAACCAGAGATCGCCACAAAAGCAGGAAATGGACTACAGCACAGGGCATTCTGGGTAAATACAACCAAAACAAAGACGCATTTGTAACCTAGTTTAACGACAAGAGAGAAATCTTACAACTGCTAAAAACTGACACCGTTACATTTCATGAAGAAGGATGCCTTCTTTTATGTCTTTTCCTTCAGTGGTTCTTGCTGCAGCGCCACCACAGACGAGGAGGGGAACAGCTTTTGTAATTCTTTTGCCGTAAAAGAGAACCGCACCAACTGAAACAAATGTTACAACCTTGGTCCCGAATCGGACCAAATCTAACGGACTACCAGGCGGGGAAACAACCTACATCAGTTTATCGCAGAGCTGGCTGAATGTTGGCGTCATTGTCTGGATTAACGACAATCCTGCAGTTCCAAGGTTTTCTGATTTAGAAAACAAATTAAATAACTGCTATCATAGTAATGTCTTCAGTACCAACCTTGTTTCTTGTAATACTCCTCC